GAATGTATAGTTATTATTATTATTATTATATTGTGGTGTGGACTTGTTTTTATTTTTATTAGCCTCAAAAAGGACACTGTAACTGTTCATAATTAAATGTTGTCGTTATGTATGTCATTATAGAAAATGTTTACCAATGCTTAGAGGAAATTGGGTCAAGCTAGTACAGACTAGCCTCTATATAATGGACACTTTGGGGCAAGGCAGTTTCTCTGTTATACAGAGGTGTCCTTTATGTGGAGGTTCATTTTATACAGTAAGGAATGTAATTGGTACACTAGGTGCTGTCCGTTAAATGGAGGTGTACACTACAAAAAAGAGAGAGAGAGATGTACATGCACATGTATGAGTGTTAATAGTGTTATTCCATCAGCTTCTATTTATACTCACTCAAATCAAGTACTCCATTTAATACCCTACTCTGTCATCACCACCGGTCTGTGTGTATATGATTTAATTCTTTAATTTTATTATGTCATTACTGAATGCTTTCATTGAAAGCCTTGCTGTTTCTCATTTGCTAATTCATGACTGGTTTTATTAGCACATCAGAGACTGTGGGACTCTTTCCAAGTGTTGTTGACACATTGTCCCTCGTCTGGTTTTCATTTTCACTTTTAATGTAGACGAGACAAAACATGTACACATGTATATTGTTGATTGATACACTTTCATTTTGTATGCGTACATGCATGTACATGTATTTATGTGTGTGATGTTGATCAATGTACATGTACATGTACATGTATTAGTATGTTTACATGTAGTCTGTGATTAATTGGGAGAGAATGAAAGTTAGATAGAAGATAAGGTATGTACATGTACATCTAAATGTAAATATAATGTACATGCATGTAAATGTAAATGTAGATCCAGTACATGTAGATGTAGATGTTGTTTATAGTTTAATGGAAGAGGAAAGAAGTAATGTACTGTAGACTGAAAGAGAAAGAGAGAGAGTTGGAGTTAAATTGAGAGAGGGTGGAGGGAGAGAGAGAGGGAGGGAGAGGGAGAGAAAGTGACAGAAAGAGAGAGAGAGAAAGATGGGGGAGGGAGAGAGAGAAGAATGAAATAAGAG